ATGACAGGAACTGCAATACGGTTTTAAGTTTCAAACGCACTCTGTACACACTATTTCATTATACTGACTATATAAATAAACTATTTATTCCTAGAACGAATCAACTATTAGTCTACTACAGTACCTAAACGCGCTTAAATACCCTTACTTCTCTAAAGACTATAAACAAACTAGTAGCATAAATGCATAAAAAGACTTCGTAGAAATAAATGTGTATGTTTACTAAATTAGAATGTACAACAAATATAAACATATATATTCGACTCCACATACTTTTTCTCTGCCATCTGGTACATTTCTGTTGTATTTACTTTGTAGTACAAGTTGCATTGATCTACATTCCGATTGAAGCTGAGAAACAATTGAAGTCACTTACTCATGTATTATCCCTCAAGGTTTGGCTAGTAATGGCTCAACATCCCTGATGAAATCCACTGTCACCATAACAAGACGCTGTACAGCATCTTATACAAGCACTGTCAACGATCTAAAATGGTTTTTATATAGCTTTCTACGTGTTTATCAACTTACTCGCACGGAACAACCATGCAGTGACAAATGGCGGGCTATGGGTGACTTGAGTGCAGTAAAACAAATCTGCTTGACAATGACCAATATTAAACTGCATTCAGTTGAATTTACATCTGGTATTACTTGCAAAAAAATGATGTCAAAATCATAAAAATTAATCACTCATTTTAAATTAATACCCAATTTGAACATAAAACAAGGACAAGATACGATGCCGCACACAACAAAGTTATATGGAGAAATTGACTTCAAGCTTTATTTTTTCCCAAATATTTGTAATTTACTCGACACATACTCGGGTTTTTATTTGTTAATGTGAAGACAGTATTTCTATATTTCTTAATGTGCTCCATTGAACGACTAGCTATCAGATTGTACTCACTAACAAATATCATAAAGAACAGCAACCATGTAATTTTACTATAAACCAAATTCATGTAATGTAAATAATACTTATCCATGCCTGTACAACTGGTGTGTCCTACATTAATAGGAAAATATGTATATAACCCATCGGGGCTTTCACAACTTCTAATTTCAGATGTCAGTTGGTTCCAAAAAGTGCAATATTTAGTGGTGAAAAAGTTCCACCTAATTGTTTTTCTGTGGGTAGTTAGCTTTGAGGAGGCAGTCATGGTCTCGCAGCTGATATTATTTGATATTTGCCGACGTTATGGATGAGTTGCTGTAGAAATAGTAATACATTTATTCCTGTATATGTTGCATTTCACTCTCCTTAACCATAGGGCTTCTAATTTCAATCGTATAAAGCTGTCAACATATATCACTTGCTTGTGAAACCCTATTATCCGTTTCTTCAGTAATCTATTGACACTTTCGACTTTTATTGGGCTGTTGCCCTTAGGCTACTGTGTAGGAGAGCACAATATTCAAGTTTGGGGGGCATACATATCTTATGTGTAGCTAATCTTGCTTTTGGATTGTAAACGTTACGCAGAACGAAGTCAGTAAGTCGTTTTTTCAGTCAGATACTACCTTATTTGCATGATCAGAAAAGGTTTAATCTGAGTATGCTATCCCGAGATCTGTGGCTGCGTTGAGTTTTGAGAGGAGCTTACCGTACATTTATAGATATATTCTTGGTTTTCAGCGTCCAAAGTGAGCTGCAATCATCTAGATTGCTTGAGTCATGTTAGATCTTAATTTCAATGCTTATGTCATCGTACCCATTTCATATACTATCTTGAAATCATCTGCGAAGAGGTATGGCTTGCCATACTTGATCACACTAACTATTTCATTTATAAATAAGATGAATAGGGTAAGGCCAAGAACGCTACCCTGAATGACACCACTAGTTATCGGCTTTGATGAAGACAGCTGGTGATTGATTTTTACTAAGTGCTCTCTTTCTCTGAGAGAAGAATTTATCCATTTGAGGAGCTTTATGGCTACTCCGAAGGATCGGAGTTTTGCTGCTAGTTTGATATGTGAGGCTTTATCAAGGGCTCTGCTAACACCGAGAAATAATGTTGCCCTTGAATGTCCATTATTTGTGCAATGTGTGAAGCGTTTAGATTAATCTAAGTGGTAAGTGATATATCGTTCTAAGCAAGAGTTATGCTAAATGTTTCCGTTTGTAAAATCTAACACAAAACCTTAAGATCGCATCATTCCAGAATCGCACACTACTAACACAAATGTTGCCGTATCACATATTGCTACTTCTCATTTTCCGCAAATATAAATTAAATAGAGGCGGGACTTATCTAGCATGTTAGTCGAAATTCTGCTCGGTAAATTTATTTCGTGAATAAGTTTTGGTTAAATTATGTTACATGTTCTCTGGATTGATAGACATTCTCATTTTCTGGCGAGTTCCACGGGAGTCCGCGTCATGTAATCTAACTGCGACAGGCTCTTAGCAAATTGGTTGCAGTGATTAGTGTTTCAGGTTGACTTTGTCAAAGTATCGTTATAATGAGTATAATGGGGGTAGTTAGAGGGTAATGTCATCTACACAAATTGTTTGCTTCATGTAGGAGCTGTAGCTTTTATCATAGTATCACTTAAGGAAGACTTCACGTCTCACGATATCAATGCAGCCTATTTTCGTGTGAAGAACAATACTATTTGACAGGTTAATACTGTCAGTACATGAAAATCACTTATTGTCAATAACGGAACTTCCGGTGGGAACAGAAGTGATGATGTAGATGCATTTTTCACCGCATGTGTTTTGACAGGAATTATTGTAAGTTGAAAGGTTATCTCTAAGTGGAATTAATCTATATCTGCACTGACTGGTGCAGTGCAATATGGGTTATGTGGATTCAGTGTATGAAAAATATTTCAACTTCATAAACATTGTGTCATTGTTACTTAGCTGACTGCTGGGCTAACAAATTTAGATGATTCTCATGATTTCTGCAAATGCAGTGCAGTTGAGAAGGCAATTCTCCTCACTGTTTCACTTAGTGCATTAATCCAGTGTATAGTAATATTATATACATGTGTTGTGTTGACTGTGAGAAATGAATCTAGTTAGTCCAAACACAGATAAAGAGAAAGACACATCTACACGATAACTTCTGTTCCCACAGAAGGCTCTGTCAGCATTTAAAGGTGATTTCCATGTACTAATAGCATTCTTCCGTCAAGTAGTACTGTTCTTCGCGCAAAATAGGCTGCATTGATATCCTGAGACGTTAACTCATCACTGAACTATACTATGCCGAGAGCTGCAGCTCCTACATAGAGTAAACGATTTGTGTAGATGACATTACCCTCAAACTGTCTCGTCTTCCTCATTATAGGGATATTTCGACACAGTCCGTCTAAACCACTAATCATTGCAACCAATATGCTATGGATGTGTCGCAGTCAGATCACATGACGCGGACACCAACATAACTAGCCAGAAAATGGGAATTCCCATCTACCCAGATAACATATAACACAGGTTTATTAAAAATTATTGACCAAAAAGATTTTCAAGCGAAATTTTTACAGAACGTGATATATAAGTCCAGCCGTTTTATGTAATTGCATTACCGTCTTGTGTGAGGGGCGCGCTTTTCGGAAGGCCTCGGTGTAGAGGCCTTTATAGTATTAAGAAGTATTATACAATGACAGTTAAGCAGTTCGTAGTCCACCATTTGGGAAGCAATCCAGATCGATTATTTTCCGGTCAATTCAATTCCGTTTTCCAATTTTTTAGATTATAACGTCTTTTCTGCTCCAGTGGTGTATGGCATCGTACCGCAATATCCAGGAAGTCTTCATTAATTTCCCTGGGTAAATTTAAGCCTGATGAAAATATTAATAGGTGAAAAGTTCTAATTAGGAAGTTGTAATTGTAGCATCACATTCCTGTTTATAGCTTTTATGCAACACAAAAACCCACCTCAAATAGCATTCCAGTGCCAAAAATACTCGTATGTCACTGAATCAAAATAATTATCTGTGTAGTTAGGTGTAATAATCAGGTCGCATATGATACTTATTCATTGATATAAGTATAAAACTTGGGCGCTGTGGTATAGTATAATTCCATTATGGAGAAAATTTTATTTTGATAAAGTCCCACGGAGCTATACAGTAACATTTACTGAAACCGGTCATCATCTCCTTGGTACAAAAGTTTTGTTAGCATTGGCAGTATAATCTCATCTGTCAGAATTCTATTTGTGTGCATATACTTCCTAACTTTAGGGCATTATTTTCTCTAAATTAGTTTGATGTTGTCCAAATTTCGACCGTTGTTAACAACATCTTGCCAAAGAATACCACTATTTGGAAACAGAATTGTTATTTTCAGAGAGACTAACTGTTTTGGGTCTTAAAGTACAAAGGATAAATTTCAATGATAACTATCCGCTGTATTGTTGTAAATTACTTGTGGGCATATTTTTGAAGTGTGTTAGGCATCCGGATTATTTACAAGCTTTTCATCTGGATAGTTGTTTATGCACGTTAATTGTAGTCGTACGTGTAAAGATGCTTTTGACTGATACATTTCCATCATGTAATTGTCTGTCTTATTCTTGATCTTTGCTTAGTTTGATGCTTCTATTGAAATAAGATAATTATCAGCTGTTTAAAATCTATTGGGAAGATTGAATATTGTTTTTGTGAATAGACGAGTGTTTTGGGGTGTGATTGGGAGGCAGATTTCGCTAACATCCTAATTGTTTTCTTCCACTTGAAAGTACATGAGGAGTGTGATTTTCTGACGAGTAGTCTTACAAATATAACCTACCAAATCGATAATCGGTTTTTAGTGTTTCTTGACTGTGCTTTGAATAACAGACTTGATTATCTGGTTTTCCTTTGTCAAAGTTCGAAGAACTATAGGATAATTGATATACCTTATTTGTTCGAATATCTAGGTAATTGTTGATATTCTTCATTATCCAGGCTAAATAAAGAAAATCTTCGTTTTATCACACTAGGATTTCCTTCTATCCAAAGCGGTGCCTAATCGATCATGGATTCTGCCACCAACTATGGTCACTGATCAAGAGCCAACTGAACTTATACGTATGTGTGTATGGTCACATTGTCTCGATAAATTACGACAAGAAATTCCTTATTCTCTACATATCGTTGTAGATGACTGTGACAAAATCAAACAAGATAGTGGTGATGATCGTGTCTATGTGCATGTACGTATACAATGTCGAAATGAGCGTCAGCTAGTAAGTAACAATTACTTTCTTCATGATTTAATATCATGTGAGATTGAAATATGTTTCAAATTCTTAGTTAATCTCGTTTATTTTTTTACCGATCATGAAAATACAAACGAAATACCATTGAAAATTTGTGCCGTCTTATACATTTCGACATTTATGCATATTTATGCATAGGTGTTTAAATCATAGGGTGACTCGAATTCTTATATATTCTCACTTGCAAAATATAGCATGAAAGTCCTTACCGTGTATTTAATTCATCTATTTTTGGTAAGGTTTCCAGAGAGTTACAAGCAGCAGAAGTTCAACACTTTTCGACAGTAATTATTAAAAGCACTACATTTAGGCGTGCAATGTGGTTGTACACCTTTCAATGACATAGTATTACTTGATTTGTAAAACAAATATGCCCAATCTATATTTTGCGAACAGTGTAAAAACAGAGGACAAGGGCCAGGCAACAGATCGTTTATTAAGGAAAATCAACACATATTTATAGATTTTAATGTACATTATTGTAGATTATTGTTAGTAGAAAATACAGTCTTTTGATTGGTTGTTTCTCACAGAAAGTTAACCTTGCATCTCTTTGTGGCTGTGTCAGATCATCCATATGCTAACTGTATCCGCCTACGCAAAGCCTTTGTTCTCATTTTCTCACCACCAATATTGGGGACATAAACATTGACGTCAATTACTGTCTACCAACTTTGGCCAGCAGCCAGCTCTCACACCACAGTGATCTGTGTGCATTTGCTTTAGCTAGACACTATTCGGTTGCTTGAATTTAGATAGATGATTGAATTTTGAATCTCTGGCTTGAACTTAGAGTTGCATTGGTAAAAGATGGTAGAACCGTGATGCATGATGGTATGAAAGTTAAGTTTTTTTTCAAAAACTACCAAACTTTATGAAAGGAACGCCTATCCTAGGATTGATTGTAATAATTCGAATCCAAAGTTGAAGTAGAAGGATGTCATCTTGGAAATGTGTTCGAACTATTGACGGCGTGAACAGGCAATTGTTTTTCTTTTCGTGTAACTTTTGCTGTCTAATAACTTTTCTCTGTACACAAATTTCAAGATTTCCTTTGTGTGTATAAAGACTGATATTGTAGTAAATGCCGTTACAGGTGTTAAAAAAAGATGGGTAGGTAGATTTGATCAGTGATTTCAAAGGCGATTAATGCTCAAGATAAATGTTTGAAATGAATTGCTGGACAATAATTAAATCCCATTGATAGGTAGCTCGACTGAGATAATGGGTAAAGATATCATTAATAATGAAAACCAATACAACAGACTCTGAATAAATAAAACAATGGGATAGTATGAGGCTTGGCTGAATCGTGCATATAGCTAAAATGTTAGTTTTCCCAATGGAAAACACAAAACACCTGGTTATTTGTTTCCCTAAATCCATTTGTCTCCTATTCACTTGTGTCCTTCTACTAGTTGATTTTTTCCGGGATAAATAAAAATACATCTTGTTGATCACAGCTTCTTATGTCTTGTGTTAATCAGAGTATGGGGAAGCAATTTTTCTGAGCGTGATTCTGTAAAATAAATATATAAATAGTTGTTCTTTAGTTTAATATTAACCTTCACTGGAATAATTGATCTTATCTTCACTATTTCATCTTCTGTGTCTAATCAGTAGTACAGAAACAGTACTCATGTGATAAGTACTCCCTTATAGTATTAAGAAGTATTATACAATGACAGTTAAGCAGTTCGTAGTCCACCATTTGGGAAGCAATCCAGATCGATTATTTTCCGGTCACTTCAATTCCGTTTTCCAATTTTTTTTTTCGCTATCAAACTGCTCGACATCGTTGGCATATTTTCTACTAAATCCCATTTGGTCACCTAACTACCTGTCTTGCTTTCATTGATGTCTTTTTGGATTTCAGGAATTATAGTATTTATTAGTGTGTTCAGAACATATAGTACTCGTTATGAAGCATTAATTGTTCAGTATAGTTTGTCTTTTCTATTTATGAGTTAAACACTCTGGTTTTCTCAGAATTTCTGTCTTTGACTGTAGACACTTGACATTATTGCTATGTGAAATCAGTCCTCAAAAACCGTTCACCTTTAATTATCCTTGTTAAACTGTTTGTTATGCTCTTACTTTTTGAATATCTGTAAGGTATTAGTTTTCCTCATCAGTTATCAGTTATCGTACATAATAAAATAGATATGGTGGTAGTAGTATGACACATGAATGTCCACTGCTCCATAGTACTCAATTATTCTGTCGGCTGATGTTTTCTAAAGAAATTTCATTTACTTATGTTTTATAATCTGAGGTATGTAACTATGTAGTTTTAAATGCACAGTAATTTCTTTATTAGTTCTGTCTTTTTCAAATCAATTATTAAGTAAAACATTTTATAAATCATTAAATTACCTCATTCCTTGTGGTTCAAGACACTTCCACGAATAAAATAACATGCTTTTAGGAATTATTGTTTTACTTTCTTTTCCAGTTGAGCGTTCTAGGCGTCAAAGGCAATACAATTAAGGAAATTGCAGGTGCTGTTAAACTGGACCTTATGACAGCGTTTCGATGTAATACAGTTGTAAAATTAACCGCTGAAATGTCAGGGATCGATCCTCACATCAGAAAAAAACTCAAGCAAGCCAAACAATTTTCTGAAGTTTTCCCAGAATATGACAAATCGGAATAAAATGCTTATTCATTTCATAAAAAAAACTTCTTTTAAAGTTATTCTATTAGCTTTCTGAAACTTTACCATCGATTACCCGCACGAATTTTAATACCACATTCTATGATACATTGGCGAAGCACCCTCCAAAAACAAACAGCGGACAGTAATCACATTCTGCATCACACCTCACTATATCACGTCCAAAATACCACCCGCAAAAAAACATCCACCACATGGAACGAAAAATAACTTCAGTGTTTTCAGAACCCGTGAGATGGATGAAGTCGTTGTCTGTATATGACTCATCCAACAGGGCAGTGAGTAGAGGATGACGACTCCTGAAAGACTTGTGTGCACTCTGATCAGGAATTGTTCTGTTGACGCAGGTGTATGCCCAGGTCAGAAGGAAGGTAGGAAACAAACCAGTGCAAAGCTGTCACGTGTCCTCCCCACCGATGAAAACATTACGTTTGTATTGAATGAGAAGCTGGCTAGGCATTATTCTGAGCATGACAGCCACACTCATCTTAAGTAAGACTGTTACAATCTCAAGTCGTCGGAGAAACAACGGTGAAGGCGACTGATAATGTTCACATAGATTGAGTAAACTCTGGTGGATGACCACCTGTTAACCCATCGGAAGTGATCAATGCAAGCAGACCAGTTTCTGTATGCTTCAACGTAGGCTGACTAAAAGACTTTGTAATGACTGAACACAAGAGCGGTTAAGGAGGTGGAGAAGATATCGACACTGAGTAATATCCGTCAACTATTATTATTATTGTATCCTTTAATTCCTAGATGAACATAGGGCTTCAGCCGTGCGTCTCCATTGAGTTCGGTTCTCTGCTAGAGTCTTCACCTGGCTCCATGTCTGCTCACACGTTTTCATCTCCTCTTCACATGACCTCCTCCAAGTCACCCTTGCACTGACGACCAACTCGCCGCTTCCCTTTCGGGTTCCACTCAAGGGCTTGTCTAGTGATGTCACTTGATGGTTTCCTCAGAGTATGGCCAATCCATCTCCATTTCCTTCTGCATATTTGTTTCACAATCGGTTCCTGGTTGGTTCGCTCCCAGAGATCTCTGTTGCTGATCTTTTCTGGCCGGCCATCTGGTCTTGAGTATTGAGCGAAGACAACTGTTAATGAAGGTCTGTAGTTTGTTTGAGATGCTCTTTATGACGCGCAGTGCAAGTCTCTGATCCGTATAGTAGCACTGACTTCACATTAGAGTTGAAAATCCGGATCTTATTTTTGATGCTGAGTGTTGTTGACCTCCACACAGACTTGAGAGTAGTGAAAGCTTGTCTTGCTTTTCCGATTCCTGCTTTGATATCCTCGTCAGTTCCGTCCGCCTGTAGTTGAAACGATGCTTCCCAGGTAGGTAAAAGAGGTTGTTTCTTTCAGGTTCCTCCCATTTATGTTGATTGTTGTCTGTTGTTGTTGTTCTTGTCCAGGAATCTTCATCACCTCCGTTTTCTCTATGTTCACCTGAAGTCCTATCTTTGATGCTTCTTCTGCTAACTTGTTGCTTTTCGTTTGCATGTCTTCCAGTTTGTGGGAAATCAGACATATATCATCGGCGAAGTCCAGATCCTCCAAGTTTTTTGTATGAGTCCATCTTATGCCTGTTTCCTGATTGCCCGCTGTTTGTCGCATTATCCAGTCTACTGCAATCAGGAAAATCATTGGCGATAGTAGGCAGCCTTGTCTTACTCCTGTCCTCACTTCGAAGGGTTCCGTAAGTTTCCCGTTGTGGATTACTTGGCATGCAGCATTGTCGTACAGCTGTTGGATGAGATGTATTATTGTCGGTGGCACCCCGAAGTAGCGAAGTAGTTTCCAAATCACCTCTCGATCGACGCTGTCAAAGGCCTTTTCAAAGTCGATGAAGTTGAGATAGAGAGGTGACTGCCATTCCAGGCTTTGTTCAATGATGATCCGTAGTGTGGCGATTTGATCAATACATGACTTGTTTCTCCTGAATCCAGCTTGTTCCGGTCGAAGTTTTTCATCCAGGGCGTGTTTGATTCTCTCCAGGATGATGCGGCTTAGTATTTTGCTTGGGATGGACAGAAGCATAATTCCGCGCCAGTTCTTGCATTGACTTAGGTCTCCTTTCTTTGGTAGTTTGAATAAGTATCCTTTCTTCCAGTCCTCGGGTACTTTGCCTTCTTTCCACACCTTCTCCAGTAGTGGCGTCATCAAGTCCGCTGTTGTCTCTGGGTCCATTTTCAACGCTTCTGCTGGGATTCCATCTGGTCCTGTTGCTTTTCCAGTATTTAGCATCTTGATTGCCTTCAGGACTTCTGATTTCGTCGGAGGGTTGGTGTTCACTGGTAGCTATGTCTCCGTTGTTGGTATTGTTGGGCGCGTTGTGGGTGGTGGTCGATTTAGGAGTCTTTTGAAGTGTTCAGCCCAGTGTTTCCTTTGCTCCACTTCTTTGGTGAGTGACTTTCCGTTGTCATCTTTCACCGGCTTGATTTGTGTCAAACGTTTACCCGATAGGTACTTAGTTGTTTGGTAGAGTGTTGCGAAGTGTCATAGTAAGTCACAAATTCAAAACTGGAGCACATTGTTGCGCTGTGGCTGCACGTAGTTTTATATCCTTATGAGCAGTTCGTAGAGCTTTTACTAGAATCACCAGTTATATATGCACCTCTGGTGAGATCAAGACTGAAAAACTGTATCCAGACAGGCAGTCCTTGTCTTGTTCAGCATTCATTGATAAACTGAGCGGTACTCGAGAGAAACAACCCCATGAAAAGCAGATAGGCTTTAGGTCCGAAAGAGGGTGTATTTATCGTATCTTCACAATTCGACAAATTCTGGGACAGGGATAATTGCTGGTGTCCACCACTTGTTATGTTCCTTCACTTGGTGTTATCTGACTGCGTCAACCGAGAGATGCTGGGGCAATATCTGACTGTGAAGGGAGTGCTGAGAAAATATGTTGGTTTAATCAAGGCACTCTGCTCGCACGCAGCCGTATAAGAGTTTATGAATAATAGTTGCCTGAAGTGATAACAACCAATAATATCCGTTAAGGATGTCCGCTGGTTTCATTTCCGTGTGATTTCATGATGCTTTTTTCTTAATTTGAAACGCCTATCTCATGAAATGAATTTAAAACAAGTAACACAGGTTAATAATGCAAGACATAGTGAATTCATCAAATTTCGGTAGAACTCTTCATCTGAATGCTACATAATAATGATTTGCTGAATTCCAAAACAGTACCTATGATACATAATGGAATTTTCAGCATTTTTACTACAGTATTGCATCTAGTTAGTACATTATCATTAAATAAAATTCTACATAGATTAAGGAAATCTCAGTTCATTATAAAAAAAACATATTGGCATGTCGGTAGCAAGGCCAAAGTTGAACAGTGTTTGAAGTTGTTAGTAAAGTAGGTGCTGTCATACTTACTGGCGTAAGCGGAAGAAAAAAACAAAGCAGCACAATAACAGAAAAAAAAGAGAGAGAAAAGGAAAAGAAAGAAAGAAAACGTTGTACCTATAAATGATATGAGTTGGAAAGAGGAGATCCAGTTGTTCTACTGACTATTTAATAAGTTATAGGTATCACGCCTAATGCTTTCTTTATCGCACAGAACACGAGCTAAGTAGTGTATGGTTGAGTTTTTGTACTTGCTCTAGTGCGATCATATAGTTTTCTATGTAAGCTTCTGGTCCTGCCTGATGAGATGCAAGGGGAGAGTTGTGAATGAAGAGGGTGGTGTGAGTTAGATAAAATAGATTTAGCCCATTTTTCACATGAGTCCATGTGCCTGTCAACCAGAATATTAACAAGTTGGTTAAGTGGCACGTTGCTTACCCTACTGACAACCTCTAACATCCTGCGTAATAAGGTATAGTCTTTCTTCAGTAGCCCGGGAAAAACAACGGGGGAACAATAGAGAATAATAGGCAGAATGCGAGAGTTAACGAAATGTAGGAGTAAGGGTTGGGTTATACCAGGATGTCTTAACTTCTTGATGTAGAAGGTAAGACGGAATATTTTCTTAGAAATCGTCAAGATATGAGACGACCAGGAAAGATCAGCAGATAGAATGACGTCTAGGTATTTAATTTCCGACTTGGTTTCTATTTCAGTGCCATCTATGTTGCACACCACGTGAGAGCTAACCAGTTTGTTTAGGTCGGATTTATGCCTAAAGGTGAATGGACTGTTTGGCATTTGGAGGGGTTTGAGGTAAGACAGTCTTCCTTGGCCCATTGGCTGATTTCTGATAGAAAGCCATTTAGTTTAGAGCAGTCACTTTGACATTTGACAGGCAAAGATACAGTCAGGTCGTCAGCATATTTGACAAAATTAATGTCATACAGGGATATATATATATATATATATGTTCACTATTAGAAATACATTGGGAAATACAAGACTGAAGGAAATAAATTACATTGAGAGGTAGAATAAAGTGTTATTAATAATTAATAAGTAAAAAGTATTACCATGGTAGATTCAGAGTGAAGACCATTTCTTTTTGTACACAAAGACCTGTTTTGTAAACTGTAAGTGCACAAGCTTTGGCAATTGCAAGCATCTTCCTGTTCTTTTCTCTGCTGACAACATCAAATGAGTGACAGCATCGATATCATATCCGTGGTCCACGAGGTACTTTGTTGTTGAACTTTTTGACACTGATTTCGCCTGCTTTCAACTACTTCGGCAAGTGATCCGTAATGCGAGTAGGCAATCATCTTTGCGTAAGAGCTATATATTTGCTTTCACAGACACACTCAAATTGATTTACGCAGTTTAAAGTGTAAAGAAATGGCTACCGGTCTTTCCTAGATTGTTGAAGCACTCACTTGGTGATGTTAAAGAAGACGAGTTTTGCAGTATAATAAGTTCTCTTGATAACTTTGTCGAGTCTTCGTTTGACTACCTCTTGTTCATCGTCTTCTCTAAATGGTGAATGACTAACTGGTTTCAACACAGAACTTTGCACAGATGTGCAGTAGTTCGAGTCGCAACACTCCATTT